GGTGAGATTGTCTAAGGCAGCCTGTGAAGAAGTCCCAAACAGGACTTGCAGAGGGATGGAGCCACATCTGGAATCCCTATGGGCAATTGGAGGAATGTTTATTATTCTTTGTTTATTATTTTGAGTGTGTACTCTCCCTCTTCCTTTCTTTGTTTCTCTTTGTTATTTGTATAATAAAATTCCTCTAGGCGTACAAAGTAAGTCATCTGGAATTGTGCAGTTCCCTCTGCCAGGAAGCTGGAAAAGCCTCTCTCTCGTGCAGAGACAAAAATATGGGCTTGTCTCAAACACAGAAATTACAGAAATATTCACTGTTTGCCTTTGAGTTATATTTTCATAGGAAAGAACTGCAGCAAATACGTGTGCTTCTTGCTGTTAAAAAATTGGCTTTTATCCTGCCCAAGGTGTTGTGTTTATTTAAAAGTTGTTGAGAAATAATTTGTACATTCTAAAATAAAGCATGCAAAATATATTAAAAGGGCCTAGTGACAAAGTTGTTTTTTTTTCTGCCAGTGGGTACGGAGAAGGAAAAGGAAATGAGTAAGTAGAGAGGAGCGTCTTTATGGCCAATGGCTAGTGAAAATTTCTATTTATTCTTTGGGGAAAAAGCAAAGTAGCTGCATAGTTGCTGGTTGGATAGGTGCCGGGACTATTTTTATTGGCAGGCAGCTCTGAGTGGCTGAAAGGTGGTCATTAACACCCTGACACAAAGTGCTGACAGGGCGATTATAAGATTAACACCCTATGCTATATTAACAGTGTCAAAACCTCCCCATACCTGTCAGTGAGAAATAATGGCATGAAGGAAAACATTATAGACATGCTGAGACTTTAACATTGAAATACCATGCAGCTATTCACTTTTTGAAATTGATCTCAATATCTAGATGACCTGACTGAAGGCTCCTAAAATAAAGGAATGCGATTTAAATGGTAGCTTCACCAAATCAAAAAATGAATGCAAATGTTGAGCCACCCAGCTTACTTACTCTCTTGTTGACACTTATAGCCCTGATCTCTCTCAATAGAGTTATGGTTTGAGATCTCATAAATTTAGGATTTGACCTTAGGACTTGAGAAAAACAGAGCTATCTGGAGAATATTATTATTGATGTACAAGGCAAAATTCAACCTCAGTCTTCCTCCAGGATCGCTAGTCATCACAAACTGGTTTTATCAGTGAGAGCCTTAGGACCATAAGTGCCAATTTGTATTTAAAATGTCTCTGCTCCATGTTCACTATAACTGGAACAGCAAACCCTCTAGCACAGTTGTCCTGGAGAATCTCCAAAGAAGGGCAACAAAGCCTGTGAAGTTTATGGAGCACAGGTCTTATGGAGAGTGGTTGAGGAAAATGGGATTGTTCATTCTGGAGAAGGGGAGGCTCAGGGAAGACCTTATTGCTCTCTACAGCTACTTGAAAGTAGGTTGTGGTGAGATGAGGGTCAGCCTCTTCTCCCAGGTATCAGCGATAGGATGAGAGATGACAGCCTTAAATTGCACCAGGGGATGTTCAAGTTGGATATTAGGGAAAATTTCTTCTCAGAAAGAGTAGTGATGCATTGGCACAGGCTGCCCAGGGAGGTGGTAGAGTCACCGTCGCTGGAGGTGTTCAAGAAAAGGGTGGATGTGACACAGAGTGACATAATCTAGAGCAGTTGTGGCCATGACTTGATGGTTGGATTAGATGATCATAGTGGTCTTTCCAACCTTGATGATTCTATGATAGCTTCAGCTATACTGCTTCATACTGCCATAAATTCTGCAAGTTTTGATTAAGAGGATAAGCTAGGAGAAGAAAAGTTCTTCCTGTAAGACTAAATCTATACCTTCACTAAAAAGTAAAAAATATTGTCCAAGGTTGCCAGGCAAAGCATTCTTTCCGTCTTTTTGTTGTTATATTTTGTGTTGTATATAATGATAATACAGCCTATACGTCTCTAAGACTGATAAATAAAATACAAATTAAATATTTTTACAATACTTTGGTTTCTAAAACAAGATAAAGACATGGTCAAATCACCCCATGTTCCAGGAAATACTTCTGAGTTGCATAAAAAAGGTTTGATAGTTTTAAGTAAGTGGGATTTGAGGGGGTTTACAGAATGTTGCAATGCCATCCTACCTTATTGAAACCCCTTACTAGAAAAGTATATGTAATTAACTTAGCATGTGTTACGAATGACTTAAGCTGCATCTGAAAAGTTCAAGTGTCTTGGAAATAGATCTTACAGAAACTTTTAATAACTAAACAAGGATAAAGGATGGATTAATGGCTGTAGTTTAGTTTGTAGGCTTCTGGAAGATAATGCCAAAAATTCACTAGTACTTTCAGAGCTTCTATGAAATGAATACCATGCCTGCAGAAAATTGAGCATTTATTATAGCAACTGTTCAGAATTGCCAAAGGTAGGGAGTTTCCAATAAATAGGATTCTAGTTCTAGGATACTGGAACTACCCGTTAAAGTATTTGTATGTGTAATTTTATTACAGCATCTGCTTTGGCTGAAATGAAGGTCTCCAGGGCAATTCTGAACTTTCAAGTTGTCTGCAGAATGGAGCGTTTTCATCTAAGTATCTTTTCTACTTCAAAAAAATGAAAACTCTGACTTAATTTAGAGAAAATGATGTTTAATCATGTTTTACTAATGATATGCGTGCAGTTTTCTGTGATGATGAGAGCCTCAAAATACTTTCTGAAATGCTAGAAATACCTTTAGAGATTTTTGGCATTTCACATATTTGAGTGATTTTTTCAAAGCAAGGCAAAGTCAGTGCTATCAAGATAGTTGAGTATTCTGTGCTCTTAGTTATAGTCATACCATGTGGTCATCGAAGACACTCTATTGGTGAGAATTCACGTATGCTGCAGTCTTCTGGGGCTTCAAATAATATATAAAGGCTTTGTTTACTAAAAGAATATTGCTGTAGACTTCAACTGCAAACTGTGTAAGAACAATTTTAGCCATTCAGTGAATGTATACTTCACTCTGCTTTATTTTACCTTTCTTAGTAGCCCTGAGTGACTCTGTGGGAAATCCTGTGCCCTGTTTAATGTATCTGGAAGTAAGCAAAACTCAGAGATGCTGGCTCTTTTACTGTTTCACAGAAAAGGAAAGACTGTGCAGCAGTCCTGTCTGCCAGGTGAGTCAGAAACAGACTCCTCAAGTTCTGCTTGTCCTGGAAAGAATTAAGAGGGGATTATAGGTTTGGTAGAGCTAAACCCAACAATCGGTGTGTTCTACAGCCTCACTGGCTCTGCATGCTGAATGGGAGCAGAACAACAAGCTCTATGTGCTAATGCTTATCCCTTTCTTTCTGGACATCTTCTGTGTGACAAGAGAGCATGGGTCGCGTTCTGCCCTCATCCTTTCTGTCACAGTTGCAGATCAAGACACACTTCGTCAAAGCCTGCTTGGCACTCAACTAAAAAAAGCCATAGCACAATGAAAGCACAATGAAAATGAAAGCCACCAAATAGTTAATAAACTATGAAATCGTGTGTAGACATGAAAGTGGGAGGAGAGCCACCCAAGACTGCATTCACAAAGGAGTGAAGATGTAAGGGATGACCTTCCATGACCACTAAATAGATAACTTCATTAGGATATTCTTGTTCCAGAACATTAACAGATTCTTGCATGCCTATCATAGTGAAGGGACAGAAACTTTACTGTAGTTATTTGGAAGGGTTTTTGAATGAGCGAGGAATATATATATATATATATATATATATAACAAATGTACTATATATATAGTGTTTATTTGGAGTGTGGTGCTTATCTCTAGTAGGGAGTTTATGAACACTACCTGAGTACTATAGTCCTTAAACTCAGGTTGCCTGGCTTGGCTCTGCTGTCTTCTCATACCAGGAAGAAAAAAAATGTGTGCTTAGCAGCTAAGATCCATGCTCTTGCAATTCTTTGCAGCCCAGGCCCCACCAAAAAGCCATTTAAAAATGGCAGGTGTAACTCTGCATTGTTTTAGCATTATGGGACAAGCAGTACATCATTTCAGTCTCTTTAAGAAAATAGCCATATATTGGATCTTTGCCTCTGACATACTGGTGAGTGATGTAAATCCCATCTACACTAGAAATTAAATATCCTGCTTCTCTAGAATAAGTAAATTTCCATTGCTCGGTGTACACAAATTATGTCACCTGCCACCCTGATATTATTCTTGAGGGACAGCATACTTTACCAGCTAGTTACACTTTGCCCAGTAGAAGTACTGAGTTCATTCTGATTTATTTGATTTTATGAAGTTAGTAAGACTGAGAAACTTTGTCCTAGAAATGCTGTTCTGTGTTGCACAAGGTCACCCCTTGCACTAAGCAAGCAGAGAGAGAAAGTGGACTGGAGCCTGCAGTATAACACTGAAAACCACGCCTTTGTGCCCTCTCATCCACAGTGCTTTGCCTTTCTTAAAATATGTTAAGATAGATTTTAATGCAGTTCCAGAGCAATATTCATTTTTAAAAAACATGCTATGGACTAATAGTTCAGGAACGTTTCTTTATAGTTGTGCTAGGTGGATCAATTTTATTTTTTCCCTCTTTACTTTCCAGGCAATTTTAAGAACATAAGCAGAATGCTCCATTTGTCCTTTTTATACAGAAAAACCATCACATTTATGAGTGACATCATGATGAATCACAATAGCAACCAGAAATAGAAGAATTCCTGCTTGTACTACCCTAGCTTTGGGATGAGTTAAAAACGGACAAACTACTGAACAGTGGCTACTGTCAACAGCTGGCTTTGGCCAAAACCTTCACAGATTCAGAATGGGAAGTTTACATCATTTAAAAAATCCACAAGTAGTGACAGATGAAATTCAACCCCATCCGCAGCACTGCTTGTCAGCACAGCAGTATTGGAGACACATCACATCAACACAAAACAATGACATGCATATGTGCCCGTAGACCTCACCACCCCATCACCATCCCCCATGTTGAAGTCTGAGTTGTACAGACAGCAAAATACAGCCATACCTGAAGGCAGGAACAAGGTGAAGAGCCCGTGGTAGCTGTGTTGGCTTCACTGCCATTGTTACCATTTGTTGATCATTATTTGTCAAGATTTATGTCTGTTTAGAACAAAACAAGCATTGAAAGTTTTGAAGGGTTGCTTAATGGAGAGAACAAGTTTCAACTTTATTCCCTGCTTTCATGCAATCAGAGGTTATGTTTATTTAGAAAGCTAACATTTATACAGATTATGCACTTTCAGTGCTTCCATGCCAAAAAATACATGACTAAAATGGGTCTTTCCATCACTCTTTCAGTTTTTGACCTATGATTGTTTTTACAGGAACTGGATCTTTTAAGCAATAGCCTCTGGTAGAATAAGAGGAAAGCACAGCACCTTGTGCAATAATTTGCAAAAAGTGGCTTAGGCTAAAGGTTTTAAGCAAAATGCATTTGAATCACTCAACTTTCCAGACTACCCCAAACACTGTTTGATTAGGATAATTGCCAGGGCGAGTAGGAAGGGTCACCAAGCAAAGCTAGGTGGTAGTGGAGGTCATCAGTTAAGGAAGTATAACTTTGAAGCAGTGTGAAACTTTTTATTTATTAAGCCTCCCAACAAACTTTTCAAAGTCTTCAAAACAGTGAAGTGAGAATTATTACAGATTGAGAATTGAGTTCCCAAATCAGTGAATAATTATTCAAGCTGTAAATATGCTTTGTTGCATGTGCTGTTGATTATTCTGCTCTTGACAACATTTAAAATGTTGCTGTTTTGTAAGTAAGAAAGAAATGCTTGTGTCATGTTTGTATGGAAGTGCTTATTTAAAACTCATTTTAAAAATCCACTCACAGTAAAAAAAGAAAAATCCAGGAAAATTACTATGGTCAACAAGATCTATTTTGCCACTGTCCTTTATTTTTTAGTGACTTGTCCTTAGGTGTCAATTTCCAGCCTCATAAATGCCTTGTTTTTGTATCATTGTGTAGAAGTGGTACTGAGCCATGTGAACAAGCGCTAGAAATCTCCGATTGTGTGCAGTTGAGGCTCTTGCCTAGGAGATAAGAGTTTTCCTATGGAACCATTCAACAAAGCAAGAACATATGAAAAAGAAATGTCTGCTTTCCAATATTTTTTCAGCTGAAAAACAGTGACAAAGCTTAAGGATGTGATTTTTTTTTTTCCCCTCCACGTTCTCACACTTTCTAAATGCTTTCCAACTGGCAAAACAGTCAATGTTACTTTGTGTTCTCTCCTGCCTTTAGAAATAAAGACAGTCAGAAATGCAGGAAAGCTCTATTTGAAAACAGCCCTAGTATTCCTTTATTTTGAACTATTCTTGAAGGAAGGAGTAGGATTTGTTTGTTTTTCTTTTCACAATAAAAAAATGAAAATATTCAGAAACATTCTTCTCTGAAACACCACTCTGAGTTTATCAGAAGTTAATCTTTAAGTTGCAGTTATTTCAAACTCCCCTTTATAGGGCAGTCTTTATTTCAGCCAGTCTATCATACAGAGTCACAGCCTCTCCACAAATTTTTCAGTTTTTTGCTTTAAATAGAGATTGGGAAGTTGATCTGCATCAGCAAAGTGTTCATTAAAAAGGATTAAACATGGGTAAGTGCCGCAGCCCCATGAAAGAAAACAAGGCTAAATATCATGCATCTCATTTTCATTGGTCTTGGCCCAGAAACACCACCAACCAGCAAGACTGAGATGTCCAACTCCCTTTTTCTTACCCCTCTATAAAAGGAATTTTATTTTGTTGCCTCACAGCTTCCCTTGGTGACTGTGAGCACACAGCTCCCACATGTGGGGTTCAGGAGCATGGATGTAGGTAGCACTGCCTCTCCATGGCTTCCAAGATGGGGAAGCTCCCCCAGACATCAGTGTAGATAGATCATGACCTCGAGATTTCATGAGAGGATTTCATTTCTTTCATCTCTCTTGCTTGCATTGCCACTTGTGCCTAGATTCTCCCCATTCCACAGCCAGAGGTAAGTGATGCTCAACATGAGCCCAGTAAACCTTCACTGAATCATAGAATGGTTTGTTGGAAGAGACCTTAAAGATCACCCAGTTTCAACTTCCTGCCATGGGCACGGTTACCAACCACCAGATGAGGCTGCCCAGGACCCCATCCAACCTGGCTCTGAATGCCTCCAGGGATGGGATCTTCACCAAAAGTCCACAATAGCCTCTAAGTGAGGAAAATAATCCAATTTATGTGTAACAGCTGAGCTGCTACATTTCTTTGTATGGGGCTACCCTTCTCTGTTCTTTCATGTAAGTGTTACAATTAACAGGCGTGCTGCAGTTAATGAAGATCTCTGTTCCTGCAAAGGCGAGGAGAGTTCTCACTTTCAATATATTTCTGATCACTTACAATCCTACAAAGCTTAATGAAGTGATTGTAGGGTTTAGCAGCCTTTCATCCTATAATTACATGTTTTGTTTCAAGAATTATATTAAAGCTGGGGATGGAATATTTTCAGAAGACTTGGTAAATAACTGAGATGCACAAGACTCTTTATTAAGAAAATCTGCCTGGAATTAAGTTTTCCTACAACATTTTCTATACTTCCTACTTGAAGACTGGCTGGAAATCTGAGAAGAGCTGTTCTGTTCCAGCTGAAGTGAGTAGGTGCCAAGGTTTTAGAAGGCTGAGAGAGGCAAGGGGAGGAAAAGAGAGTTACACTTTTTTTCTTTAGAAATTCAGGTTCATCTTGAGCTTTGGGAAGCAGTTACAATTCACTTTTGTTTTGTCTAAACAAATTTCTTCACTTTTGTTTTGTCTGAATCATCTGGCTGAAGTAAAGCTTGGGCTTTTCTTCCTCGAGGAAAAGTGAATAAATAGGTTTGGTCACAAGGCATAAGCTGAAGCCTGTTTGTAAGAGCTCATCTATTCCATGAGGGCACACAGGAATGTCTTTGGCAATGCACAAAAGACCAGGTCAGCCCAAATTATTTAAGATGTACTTGCACTGGGTTTGGCCCAACTCCAAATCTGAACTATGCTGCCTGGGATGATCACTGGCACAAGAACATATATTGAATATCAGTCAGTATGAAATTATTCTGATGTGAACTGATACATTATCTGAAAGAACAGGCTCCATTTCTCCCTGTTTGTGTTAAAATAACTGCAGTTCCATCTTTAAAGGATTGAGGTAGCTTTCACGACTGATATCAACATAAAACCTTTGAAATTATTGTCTGAAATGAAATAGAATGGAACATCATCTGAAAATCCCTGGCAGAAATGCTGGCGTAAAAGACAAAGTACTTAGTAAATACTTTACTATATTTTCACCTTTGAAGAGGAATTTATTGCTGTATAGAAAGGTGTGCCCTGTGTTTTTGTGTACATGTGATACAGACTTCACCAGAGGAATAGATGAACATCTACATGTACAAACTGAGTAACCAAATGAAAAGATACATATAGATCACTCTGAAAGTAATGCCTCCTATTTTTTTTTCCATGGAAACTGCAACAGATGCAAACAGCACAATAACATGACTTGATAAAGCAAATTTTCAGCTGCAAAACACTGTTTTTCAACATAAGCACCACCACTAGCTTTGCATTTTCAGCAATGAACAAAAGCATGCATGCCACACTCACACAAATCTGTACAAGCAGGGATGACCCACTGCTGCCAACGCTGCTGAAATGCACCATTCACTGCCTCACAGTGCTCACATCCACTATTTGTAATCCACAAACGTCCAGCAAGTGTCAGTGAATGTCAGCGGGTGCCTCTGTTTCCACATGGAGGAATTCAGTGACACGCCTTTGCTTCACACACTCTTCCATGTCAGATGCCATTGTGAAAGACTGCCCCTCTGCTGCCATCTGTCACAAGGCAGCAATATGTAACAGACTATGGGTGAGAGGTTCAGCCACTACTGCCATACCACCATTGTAGACCTCTGGTATTGTGGGCCAATAAATAGGCAGCATTACTTTCAGTACAATCCTCATACAGGTGCTTACCACAGAACAATCACAATGGCATTGAGTCAAGGATAATGGCCAAAGTTATTTCAAGTGCAAAATTGAAGAAGCTAAGAAAGAAGATGGGAGAGAAATTGCAGCCAATTCATACATCCACCATTTTTCCAACCAAGCATTGTGGTAGACTTTTTATTAGCAGAAAATGTAGTTTAAGGATATGAAATGTGGGCAAACTCACAACAGTAACATTTTTATCTGTAGAGAGGGGTGCCAAGATCACAAAAGGTAAGTATGAACACTCAGAGTTTCTCCCACAAGCTCTAACTCATATCAGTTTTAGATTTTGAGAGCAGAAAACAGAGAGAACATCTTCAACTCAAAGCTATAGAATGATTCAAATGCCATCTCTACAAATGAAATATCCCCACTCCAAAATAAGAAAAAAAAACCAAGAAAAACATGGCGTCAGTAAGATAGTAACAAACACAAAATGTTTAAGAAGGATGGCACATGCTCTGCAATGGTAGTTTAGCTCCAATGTGTTATAATCAACATGAAAAATGATTTCTTCTAGCTATTTCTTGTCAGTCTCCTCCAAAACAGTGACTGCGTTTTTCTGGTGCACATATTAAAATACTGCACTTTGGGGTTTTGATCCTCTGAATGGTTATTCTTTCAAAAGAGTCCCTGCTAAGGTGTCTGAGTCTGATGGCCACGGGTCTTTCAGCAGAGCAGCTCTGTCTTATACCGTGCTACCACAAATAAACACTGTATTGAGCAGAAGTGCCAAAAGAGAGAAAAAAAAAATCTTTTTCTTTCCTTGCAAGGCCAAACATGCTGTCTTTGGACAGATTTCAGTCTTGCTTTAATTCATTAAAAAAAGTGAAACAAAATCACCATTTACATCCTTGACAGCTGGCAGGTTTTATGTGTTCTTACTGCTCCTGCCAAGTCAAGGAAGGAAAAAAAAAAAGGAGTTTTCATTCAGCTCTGTCATGGATCTTCGGAGTGCTGGAAGTGTGAGAGATGTCAAAATGTATTCATAACAATGACATACAGTACCTGAAGGCAGGAACGTATTATGCTAGTGTACTGGTGTAAAGGAAGTTACCATTCTCCTTTCTACCCACAAGCCCACAAGAACATCAGAAAACATACCAGTCCTGCAAGAGGGAGTGCTTTGCTTTCTACAGAGTCACCTGTTCCAAGTGCTTTCTGATCATCAGATTGCTTTCCAAGATATACTAGA